GTCCATTTTGATATGCACAGGCTCAAAGTTTGGAATCTTGAAACAGTATTTAAAATATACCTTCTCTATTTTTGTGCCACTTTATGTCAGTGAGGTATATCCTGGTTGCATCAATAATAGCAAAATTTAGACAGTAAGAAAAAGTCTGGAGAATTTTCTATCAGAAATTAATTTCCTGGGGAAATACCTGTGAGACAAACCTACATATCTGCTGAAAGAAAAATCAAGTGACTGCTATTGGCCTCTTACATGGTCACCCAAGAATGAAATGCATAAGAGATGACAGAAAGGAAAGGTGTTTTAGTTGGGGAAGCCATTTGTGGGGCTTAGTCCTTACCTGGGATTGATTTGTGAACTATCAATATATTTGAACTTGTGTAAGTTGTCCATTATCTTCAAGTACTAAATATGCAGAATAATCTCTTCAGTATTCAGAATGTTAGTCAAAAGAATAGGCAGTAGTTGAGCATCAAGTGAAAAACAAAACATCAGTGATCTTACAGGCAGTCAAATTTTGACAAAGAAGCACATATGCACAGTGCTTTCCTGGCTGAACTGAAATCCACACAGCCTCTAATGTTATTTGACCTTTTAGGTCAACCTCTTTGACCAAATTGGGCAATGATTGACAGGATTGACTTTGCCTTTCTGGAAAACTCCTATATAGTCTTTAAGATGCAGCTCAAAGGCCACTGCCCTGAAACTCAATTCTGTCCCATTACTAGCCTCAACCAGCTGTGTGCCCTACTTCTTGGAACTCACAACTTCCTCTTAAGATTCAGCACATTTGATGTGGCTTTAAGAAGCCTGACACATCCTTTTAATGTGACTCAAATCCCACTTATTCACAGACTCTCCTGCTTCATTCACCATTCACCTCTCTTACTCCAGCTCAGTGCCTACTGTGGAATCATACACAAAGCAAATACAAAATAGTACTGACTGACACCAAGAGAAACCATTAATAGTGAAGAGATAACTCACATGTCCGAACATATGTTTACCAGCTCAGACAAAGGATCACTATGGAGAACATATAAAAACTCAAAATAAAAAAAAAACCAGACCTCCCAAATTTAAAGACCCAATCCAAAAATGTGCATCTGAGATGAATATACACTTCTCAGAAGAAATATGAACAGCAAATAAATATATGAAAAAATCTTCAACATCACTGGTCATTTGAGAAATATCAAATTAAAATGCTGAGATTCCATTGTAGCCCAGAAAGAATGGCTATGATCAAGATATCAACCAAGGGCTGGGGAGATAGCTTGGCAGTCTAAGTGCCTGCTGAGCAAGTGCTTGCCAGGCAGGTGCTCAGACTACGGAGCTATCTCCTCACTCTGATTACTCTTGATGAGGGCATTTCAAATATCCTGAATGATTTTGAAGTAATTTTCCTTGTCATGAATTGTTTTGGGACTTGACTGGGATTTTAAAATTCTTCCAGGGTAATGCAATTGGTCTTCATGGACTTGGTGTCCTTTACTTTTATGGAAAAGGAGTTTCAGTGGTAAGTCAAATAATTTTATTACCTTTACAACATACTTCTGGCAATTTATAGAGTAAAATTCATGATCACTCATTAATTCGTAGGAATTAGTCCTTATCATTTGGTTGGCAGAACTGTTATATTTGATAATAGAGAATAAAATAATTCAGTGAAATCTTTGTTTGCCAAAGAGACATAGAAGAACAAGCCCGTGACAAGAATAGCAACTCTAATTATAGCTTAGAATCTTAGATTCTAAATAGCCTTGGAAATATCTGTCCCCTGAAGGTTTTTTGATAGGGAAATTTATCTTCTTTATCTGTCTTTCAAGTGACCTTCCCTGATATTCAACAAAAACCTACTGTCACTGTATAAAAATATATAATTTACAATGAAATAATTCTTTGGTAATATCCAACATAATAAAGTCAAATGTATTATATATCTGACACTATTCTAATTAGCCTGCATCACATAAAGCACTGTCTATATTCTAAAAAAAATCATAAAAGGCAATTGTTACCATGAAGTTATACATATAGCTATGAATAAGAGTGCAATTATTTTCCAGAATTATGCCGAATCACTGAAGTACTTTCAGAAAGCTGCAGAGAAAGGATGGCCCAATGCACAGTTCCATTTCGGCTTCATGTACTATTGTAGGTATTACAGATAATGGTGCTTTATTTAGAATTACCTACACATTAGGGAATCTGCCTCTTTTATAATGAAAATCAAAGGTAATGTGAGTGGTTTGAGAAAGAATATTGAGGCCGCAGTTTGATCCGACTCAAGGAAGACCAGAGAAAAGAACATCAGTGGGGGAGGTGGCGAGGTGGTATCGATGCGGGAAGCTCATCTTTGATGCGGTTCAGTTGGGCCTGGTGATAGTCAATGTACATACCTGGTAACAAGCATGCAACCTCAAAGAAATGTCAAAATTGGTGACAAAGATTCTGGAGACATTGGCCTACAGGTGTGAGTGAACACAACAAGAAAAGGGAATGAGGAGAAGGAGGAATGGGCAATGGCGAGAATTCTGGGCTCTTCCATGCCATTCTGAGAGGCTAGGCAGAAGAAAGCTGAGCACCAAGAAGGAGCAAAAAGGCAAGGCCAGAGGAACAACAACAACAAAAATACCCCCAAGATATAAAGAGAGGCAGAGGGAAGAGCTTTCCAGAAAGAATAAATTAGTGAATAGCAGCCTTGGGAGACACAGTGAGAAGTCTGGTAAGGGGTAGGGGTTAGAAGAAGCTTGGAAAGCAGGTAATTTTGATAGTACTGGGCTGGCTGGGGTGGAAGTCAGATGACAGTGGGTTAGGGTGTGAATGAGAGGAGAGGAAGTAGGTGTGGGAAAACATCCATGAGAGAGCACAGGCCTGTAATCTCAGCATTCTGGGAGGCTAAGGCAGGAGGATCACAAGTTCAAAACCACCCTTAACAACTTAGTAACTTAGAAAGACCATGTCTCAAAAAGATATGGGAATGAAACAGTGCAATGGCTAACTCCAATCCCTAGTACAAAAAAAAAAAAAAAAAAAAAAAAAAAACCAAAAAAGACCTTGAAAGAAATATGCCTTGTTTTTAGATAGTGACAGGCCCAGGCATAAACATAATTGATAAGAGGAAAAAAAACAGCAGTATTAGGATCCAGACAGGTGGAGGCTTTTTTATCTTGACAGAGGAGTGGAATTTCTCATCCTTGAAGATCAGGAGAAAGACACAGACAATACAATATAGATAGGGGGAGGGAGGGAGAGAGAAGTGAAAAAACAGTATAAAGTTTTCTTCCATGAAGTAGATAAAAATTTACCTGTGGGAACATAGAGAAAGGATGGGATGGGGGGGGGTCACAGAAAACCATGAACATTTGTAAAACTTCCTGGGGATCAGGAAAGGAGGTGACTTGAACAAGGACCAGGAGATATAAACATAGTCTCACCATATCACTGGAGCAACCAAGAAAGCGATGACCAAGGAGGTCAAATCTGGCCAAGAGGTCATCTGGCATCTTCCGTGGTAGCTCGGCAGGAGGCCCTACTTTTCATGCAGAATGGAGGCCTTGTTCCTAGTATATGTCAAGTCCTCAGCCTCAGACCTGTCTGCTTTTCAGGCTTCTAGAATAAATAATAGCAATAGTACATTAAATTTCACATGTTTCAATTCATTTAGCCCACTCCACATGTCTGAGGGTACCCTACAGTTTACAGATGAGCAAACTGAGTTTGGAAATCTTGTCCAAGACCACATGGGTAGTGGCTGTGGGATTCAATTTTAAAAATCTACTTTGATAGCTTTTGTTTTAATTGCAACTAGGCATTGCCCATAATGGTCATGAATGTTAGAGCTAGAAGGGAATTTAAAAACACCCAAGGGAAGGCTCCCACCTTTTGAAAGTAAAATGTCTAGATGTACCCAACTCAAAAAGTGGACTAACAGCCAGGAGAATTGCTGTTGCTGGAAATCTGCTGATTCTCTGTTCCCACCTGAATGCCTCTCCTTTCTCCAAGCATGAGTTGGGTCAGACTTGTCTTCCTGGAGCTGGAAATTACCTACTTCAGGCTCTGTTACTTGTCTGCATGAGCTATTCTGGTGTCCTTGTATGGAAGGATGACATGGATAGTGAGAAGACCGTGGGACAGCTTCTGCTCCTCAGAGACAAGCACTTGGTCTCTTCTTCATTAGTTCATATTATAACATATTACGATGCTCCC